GGAGCTTTCTTGCCCCCTCCACTAGAAACAAAAAAAGGGGGTGCCCAGAACCATAATCCAGAACCGGGCCAAGTTCCCCAGCCGAGGGGTGATTCCAACAATCCACGTTATGGAAACAAGACAGCCAAGAACACAAACCCGTGACACTTTCAATATACTTTATTAAAAAGTTTCTTTGAATAAATTTCCTAAAAATTTTAAAATTAAAATTAAACCCCCACCCTGCACAAAAAAAAAAAAAACCCACAACATTAGAGGAATGCCAAAAATATTCTCTGTTACGACTTTCTTTTAATTCTTTAATGAAGGCATTGGTCCCAACGGTGCACACAGAACAAGGGAATTTGTTTCTAACTAGAGCATTTGTTAGAGGCTTTAGAAAAAGAAGATTAGCTTGACCCCTCATCCAGGCCCCTGGGCAGGGGGAATGAAAAGGCTGGACTCTCGTCTCTCCTCCGTGCGCGGGCGTCTGCAGTCATGCTTACTAAAGAGGGGAGGGAAAAATGAACCAAGCGAAAGTGTAGAGCAGCTGTGCCTGGGGCTTATTTTCTAGAATTTACATTTGCCTAGAACAGGCATAACACGAAACTCCGGAGGGAGGCTGGATGCACAGGAATGTTCGCACAGACACCAGCAGTGGGAAACTACTACACAATGTTCGGAGGACACGAGGCAGCGGCCTGGACACAGGGAGAGCGGGGTCCACAGACGCAGTTAGCACCATCTCGGCAGGTCGTGCGGCAGAAGGCTTCCTCCCGAGTTCGAGTGTAAATCCAAGCATGTGAGGGTCCAGTGCAAGGGAGCCCAGACCGGGGCGTCTACAGAGGCGGGGGGGCAAGGACTGACTCCTTCTTCAAGAGGTATATGTCGCCGGTCAGCCGCTCTTAGGTTCCCATGGCACTCAGGACCTCAGGCTTGGCAAGCACTGGGTGTGGAGAGGCGGGTGGGTGGAGTGAGGGGCCCAGGTAGGGGGGAGGAGAGGAAAAGCCACATTACCAACCAGAAAGGACCCTGTATTCACCGTGAGGTGATCCCACCACCCTGGTTCTCATCACCTCTCCCACTTTTCTGCTCAGTATCATCAACAGCCACCTGTGACCCTCCGGACCTGGGGCTTGGAGTTCCCTGTACCCAAATCCATTCTCCCTCCCTGCACCATCCAGTCGCCTTTATGCAAACTGAACCCCCCTGCTGGCACTGACCCCAGGTTCTGCTTCAACTTGTTTTTATTTTGTTACCGAACAAGTTTCCCAACATAACGAAAAATGGCAGGTGGCCCCAATGCCAACATTCTTATTTACGGGGAGCAAAATTATTTCAAGATGAATAGATGGGAGTTATTTACCTTCAGTATTATCTATAATGGTTCACAATATTATTTTCCCAGTAATTGTGTTTGGTGCAATATTTTATGAATACCAGAGACTTAGTGACATTTCTGGAGAGTGACAAATAGTTGCTATATGTTTCTTTGTTGCCAAAAATGCAACTATACAGGTATGTTTTTAGGAAGCAAAGTAATAATCAAAAAATAATTTCATATATTTTGTTTGAACAGCTTTCTTATCTGAGAATATAAAGTATCTTCTTTTTCATGTATATCATAATCATTGCTACTCAAATATTTTTCAAAGTTACGTCCTTGACTTGAATTTCGTATCTCATTTGCAAAAGCTCTAAACTCAAGGAAAAAGGACTCACCAGGGGCGCAAACCTTCTCACATTCCTTCTGTGATTCGAAGTTGTTCTCATTTCCACCGCAGCCTCCGTACCAGAACCTGGCACAGCTTCTAGTCTTTGGATCATAGTACCATTTCAGTATAAATTCCCTGCAAGTCCCTCCTTCTTTCGGCAACTTACATATATCTTTAAATGACAAGATGAATAAAGAATGTTAATTAGAATGTGCATGTTACTTTGCTCCCAACTCCAGGGACAACTGTTTGATCACAAGGCTGTCTCAGACGGAAAAGTGTTTCCAGGTGAAAACTCCCTCAAACTCTGACCCCCTTTCCTTACTGTCATCTGGGCCTAACGGTCACTCATGGCTTTGTGAGGGATAAATGAAATCATATCAATGAGAGGACTTTATTACGGATACTCGGAAGCCCAAACGTTCACTAGAACCATTAGATAATTTAAAATGAAACTCTTGTTCCCTCCCCTCCTCAGTCACTGGCCCTTTGCTCTCTAATTCCTTCATAGAGAAGAAACCACACTTTTAAACCTTACAGTTTTCTATTCTTAGCCAAAATGGCAATTAAATGATGTCAAAATATAGTTTAAAAGTAAGGCTTTGTATTTCACTATCAGCTAAGTACATTAAAAATTAAAGTACCAAAGAAAAATTCTTTATAAGTGTGTAAGTGTGAGCCCACATGTGTGGATAGCCAAGCGCCTTCGTGACTTGCCAAATTAAACAAGTAAGTAAAAGGAAGAGCTAGCACTGATGTAAAACTCACGACGGCAAAAATGTCACATAGCAAAGCTATTCTGAAGACAGAGAAGCATTCTTTTCCCAGTTAAGGAAGTTGATGTTTTAAACGCACACTTCTGATGTAGCCCAGCTGCAGAGCAAAGCTGTGGTCCCCTCACGCCTGGAGAGAAAAGTTTATAGTTCACACACCACAGTAAGACTTATGTTTACAGAGTTTACTGGCAAACCCCAGATCACTGCTGGGAAAGAGAACCATTGATGTCAATCGTTATCTATTTGTAAGTTTGGAAATGTAAAACAAAAATGTAAGCCTTCTTTCCACAGTACTCCTGGGAGCCAGTGATGCTGTGTGTCTAAGTGAGCAGCCACCGGGCTGAGTCACCTCCTCTACCGCACAGCTGACCTGCGGTTTGCCTTTCTGCCCAGCTCACTGTAGAGGTGGTGAGCAGCCGAGGTTCAAATGGACACTGAAAAGGACAAGGAAAATCTATGTCTTTAGGCCAAAAATCAAAGTGTGGGTCACCCATGATGGAGCAGACCCAAAGGTACACAGGAGTGAAGCTCAGAATCTGTCTCAGATATTTCCCGGCTGCTGTGGGGGAACGGTCACCCAACTGTGAGGCCAACATCCTCACACCCACACCGTGTCCTGGTTGCAGACCCTCTCGGGACCCAGAAAACCAGCAGCACCACCAAGAGCCTTGGGAGACCCAAGGAGGCCAGAATAAAATGATGAATAAAAACAGGCTCAGCACCCTACTCACTGAGCCAGGTGTGGCGGACACCTGTAGTCCCAGCTACTTGGGAGGCTGAGGCAAGAGAATCACTTAAGCCCAAGAGTTTGAGATTGCTGTGAGCTGTGACACCAGAGCACTCTACCAAGGGTGACAGAGTGAGACTCTGTCTCAAAAAAAGAAATTATATAAATGACCTTCCTCCCAAAACAAATGTGCCAATAATTGAAGGGGAATGCCTGGCTTTCAAGGACTGTCCCAGAGGGAACTAAGCAGGGCAGAATTGTTCAACCGCCAAAGTGCATTCTTTGTCTACTGGGGGCTCCCAGCAGGCAGACGTAAGGCCTGAGTCACATGGCCACGTGGTCCTGCCTCCTTCCCCTCCCAGAACCTTCCTCAGTGGCCCCTTGGTTTCCCTGTGTTTCTTCTGAATGCACTTCATTCCCGGCCATCTGTGTGTAGCTACTCAGTTCCCTCAGCCCTGGGCACTGCTGACCCGGCCACAGGAAGTCTGCCCAGACCCAGGCCTCCCAGCACTGGGCAGCCTGTGGAGGGCAGTCTGGTGCCCAGACTCCCCGGCTCTTCCCGCCTCCTCCGTTCTCAGTTTCCCACCCCAGTAGGCAGTGTTGTCTGCATTTTCTACACCATTCCAGCAAGAACCACGGCTGAGGCTCTGTGAGGCGTACCAGTGAGGCTGCTGTGACTGTGGACAAACAGATCTTTGGAAAACCAAGAGAAAAATACCAAAGAGGGCTTTGTACTATTCAAAGACAAAAGTTTGGGAGTCTCCAGTTCTAAAGCATGAGAATAGAAGACTTTATGTTCTAGTTTTGAAGTCCACCTCATCTTGACCCTGAGACCCACCATTTTGTCTGGACTCTCCTAAGCTGTGTCTAATCTGCTAAAGGAACTGTCGTATGGCAAAATCAATCAATCAATCGATCAACCAAATGTCCTGTGGTACAGATGGCTGGCCCTCGCTGAACTTAACCTGGAATTTTCTCTAGAATGAAGAGTCTTGGACATGGTTGTTTTTCATGTTTTCCCTATAAAATGTGTCTTGGCACAACCCCAAGGGAGTCGAGTCCCCTCTGTGTGAGGGGATTTGCCTGCACATCCACTAATCTGCTCTCCCTCGTGACTGAGAATGTCATGGGAGCTAAAGGACAACAAGGACTGGAAATTGTCAAGGTCCTTCCCTGGTTCACCTTGCCTAGAATAACACTGTAAATAAGTTCCATTTTAAGAGAGACCTGAAGACTGACCAGGCCCCACCTGGGGAGGCTTCTCTCTACTGACCCCTGGGCATCCAGGAGCATCCAAGCACAAGAGAAGAAACTGATGTAAGCACAGCGTCAAAATAAAGACAGTTCTGGAAACTCACCTGTTCACAGAAGAGCCAACCCGGAACATTCAAACAACAGTGAAATGCAAGTCGCCCTGAGAAGCACAGTCTGTTTTGTAGTAAAAATGTGTGCACACACACGCACCCTCAAGATACGTGCACCTGCCACGTGCAACGTTCAGAGAAGAATCGGGAGGGATGTGTGGGCCACTAACAGTGGTCATCAGTGCTGGGACAATGACCATCATACATTATCATATTTTTCTGTATGTCCTGAATTCTTCACAATGAATGTCTATTGATTTTATAATCAACAAAAAAATAATAAAGTACTTTTTGAAACAGAAAACACGTTGATTGGAAAATTTTGCCTTTTTGTTTTTAATAGTTCAGCTTCTCTAGTGTTTAAAAGTATCAGACCTGACGTTTTCAAAGCCAGCAAGTCACCACCATGTAAGCATCTCCTCCAGCAAAATGATGGGGCGAGTGTTTATGCTCTAATTGTAAATATGTTCCTCATCAGTTTAATTCCTCAGGGACAAGACGGTTTAGTCATCTTAGGACTCAAGGTTTGACATGGTGTAAAGTCCAAGCCACGGGCAGGTCCGACTTGCCCGGACAAGAAAACTGGCTCCCACGTGCTGAGCCTTGGTTGGTTCAGCAGGTACCAACTTACTAAATTTTTAACTTTATATTTAAATGTTTCTGTTGGTAAGTTTGGGATCCTTTACTCCTTCAGACCTGGACAAACAGAGTTTTATATTTTAAGATTTCACAATAAAAATATACTGTTTGAGACTCCTGTTAACCCAAACACTGCCACTGACAAAAACACATTCTGCCACACGGCAGTAAACAGATGGCCTTGAAGAAGGCTGTTACCCTTCAACCAAATACAGCAAATATTTACATCTATTTAGCCTACCTCAGCTTGTGGAATTACTTAGTTCTTCAAATTATTATTAACATAGAGTCAGATATTTCCCTCCATGACATCATTCCATGCTAATCAGTGCTGTATATCCATAACGGAATATGTTAACCAAATACCACATTTCATCAAACCTAAGATGTCTTGATTTTACGATGTGCTGCTGGTTTGGACAGTGCTATGTAGTTGCTAATTTTTGTTTTGGTTTTTGTCCCTACCTCCCTGTTCTCCCTTCCCACTTTTTGCCAAGGAAGCCAGGGATAGATATTCTCCATGCATATTATTACTAAAGCTAAAATGGTAAACTTTGAAAATCCACAGAGGTGAAAAAAGCAAACAATAGCATCTAACATTGAATACTAAGAAAGGAACACACGTCTGCAAACATAAGCCCTGTTTCTACTGAATGGATCCTGCAAAAAGCAAGAGGAATTAAAATGCACACATGTACATACCAAAAAACCTAGCTTTAAATTTCATTTTGCCTGAATTATTTAGAAAACACATCTTTGGAGAAATAAGGCATATTGTGGTCATGGATATCTGGATGCAAAATATTCACACACTGGGCGGCGCCTGTGGCTCAAAGGAGTACGGCACCGGCCCCATATGCGGGTTCAAACCCAGCCCTGGCCAAAAAAAAAAAAAAAATGCAAAATATTCACACAAGCACTAAGTTAGCATGCAGTTGCTGTTTTTTCAGTAATGAAGAGTGGTTAGTTGCCACTCATTTTTCTGTCTCCAAAAATAAAATATAGATAGCATTAACATATTTTACCCCCCTGAGGAAAATGGCTAGGATGACAGTCACAGAAGGGGGGGAAGTGGGGAAGACAAGCTTTCACTTCCTAATACATCCTGTGACCCCATGGATTAGAGTCCTGTATGCAGGGCCACATTCTTAGGAAAACAAGTAATTCCCAGCTTCCCACTGGGTGGGAAAGGCACACATATGTACAGGCGCACAAATCCACGTGCACATACGTGAAATGGTGAAGAACGTGCTTGTCCTGGGTGGGAGGCTCCACACTTACCACTAAAAGAAAAAGGGTTTTAGATTCATCTACAGCAAACAACTCTGGTCTTGAGAGCAACATGAGCCCCAATGTCAAATCTCCTTTATCTTTATCACAAGGAGAGAGGGATCTAAGCACCTTCCTAATTCAGAACCTCACAGCTCAATATAAAGGGAAAAAACAGCCCCGCCAGACCCTGCCTTATGGCTGTGGTGTTTCTATTGACTGAACACTGGCGTACCTTCTTATCCTTTCTGGATCCCATGTAAGACACCCAAAACATCCCCAAACCTGGCTGTCTAGTTTACTCCAAGTCATTTTCCCTCAAGGAGGCACAGAGTTGGCTAGAAATTTTACATTTCCCACACTGTTTTAGGGGTAAAGTTAACTGATGAGTGGGAAACTGTATTTACAGATTTCAGAGCCTCTGAAGTCAGAGCTGAGTCTGTCCTGACCCACAACTTTGTGGACAACGTAGAGTGTCCTTTGTGGCTTCTCTTTGGGCTCACGTGGGAGTGAGGATGGGCATGTCAGGAGCTGCAGGACGTCACTGGTGCAGACGCCAAAGGCTTCTCCCTGGTCCTGCAACGTGAGACTCAACAATGCTTCTAAGCAGAAAGCAGAGGGCTGAGCCTTAGGTTGCTTCCTCCCTCTCTGCCCCACCCCCGTGTCACCCGCTGATTTCCCTTTTTTAGTGTAAGATGAAAATCATCGCACTTATCAAGCTTAATCACCCAATCTACCGTGAACTCCTGGCTCGTGTTCATAAATTTCTATAGAGAAGTTTCTGTTTCCTATCAATCTTTCAGAAGAGTATAAAATGCGCACAGCGGTCTCTGACACAGACCAATTACTACACTTGTCTGCAAAGGAAACCTATTTAGCCTCAAACAGACCAATTTGCCTCTGACACAAACCAATTAGCCTTATTTAGCCTCTGATACAGACCAATTACTATACTTGTCTGCAAAGGCAACTTATTTATCTGTGTGTACAATGGTTCCACGATTCCAGCACAGATGACTTTCTTTCTAGTAACTCCTGATGCCCCCTGTGAGTACAGGTGTGGCCCTGTAGGGGGTCATGGTCAGACGGATACCTGGATAAGCCCATCAGTGGGAGAGGTGATCTCAAAATCTTAGAGAACATGGACGCAGATTCAGAAAACACTTAGAACATCTAATTTTACTTACACATAAACGAAATCAGATATAGACTCCATAGAAAGGGCCAGATGGAGAAAACATTGTCATTTTAGAAACAGTGGAAAGAACAAAATGAAGAATATGGATTTGATAGCCCCCAAATGATAAGCTGGTGCTTCCAACAACTCAATGCTTGTTAGGCAGGCAGAGCTTCTTCTGAACCCAACCCCAACAGAGAAGCAGCAGAGCCCTCCACAAAGCCCTTTGTTGTATCAACTGCAGAAACAAACACTGTATAGGGAAGGCAAACAATGGCAAAACGTCCCCACAGTTAGCAGCAAGCTTCTGCTACAGGTGTATAAGACAACAGTAAATCTAAATTCCCATGGAATTTCAATGCTTTAAATTAGTATCAACATCTTTTGCTGAACACTCTTAAGCAGGACATATGGCCTATGGTAATAACCACTTTCTGGCAAGTCCCCCTGTCTAGGGCCTAAAGCGAGTAACTGTCAGTCTCTAGTCACTAACTTAACCCCAAGGAGTGCTGCTCTGGAGCTCAGGCACAAGCGACAGTGGCGTCACAGAGTAACCAGGACACTGCCCAGGGAAGCAGGACCATCCCCAGCCACCTCCCTAGCCTGTGTTTCTGCTTTGTCTTGTGCTCTTCTGAGCAGTTTTTATTAGATGAAATCACTGAGTGGAGGAATCTCTACTCTTTGCAGCGTCCCAGACCCCAAATCAATGCCAGCCCCAGGATGAGCACAGAGCAAATGACCCATGAGCAGATTCTGGCTGGTGCCCCTGAAGCCACTCCCATCAAATTCCCACTAAGAGTCTCCTGACGGACAAGGTAAGTCTTCATTTACAACTGGAACTCTGCCAAATAAGACTATGTTGGGCCGCACAGAGCCAGTTTAGACCTTCCCCCTAGAAGGCAGGCTTGGCCTAAGACTTAGAACCCAGGAAGGTGACTCGGAATCCTGCATTGGAAAGCTGTAGTTTTTGGAACAATGCTTTCTTAGCACCATTCACAGACCTGATATTTCCACAACTCACCTGTCTCTGTTAGAGCCAACGGTTCTGTGCTCACCATTAAATTGATGGTTGAACTGGAAGCTGACCTTGCTGGCAGTGCAGGCTGGGATTTCTCTGTGAAGGAAAAACACATGCAACTCATGGGTAAACCAGAAACAGAAGGGCTGAGGAAATCTCGGTGCTGGCGCGAGGCTGTCTTTCCGGACTGATGTCTTATTACAGGGTGGGCATCGAGAGACAGACAGGTCGCCTCTACATGAAGCCACAACCTTGTAGTCTGTTAACAAGCGAAGGAGAGCAATCCCCGAACTTCCGAGCAAACCTCTCCTCTCTCATGTGACCTCTCCT